ACTCAACTTCAAAGTCAGCAGCATGATCTTATCCACTGATACAATCCTACAAAGTAAACAAATTAAACTTGCAAACTTCGAAAAGAGAGCTAAGAGCACTCAGTGAGAAAGCCCAGTAAGTCAAAGTACTTGCCAGTTGAGAAAGCACGTTGTGCAAGAAAAGTTGGTGACTTTGCAGCAAAGACTTTTTTTTTTAAATAAAGAGGAAGTTTCATTACAGTTTTATGACTTTATGGAAGCAAGGTCTGACTTCTGTTGCAGTATGGATTGCTGAGCATTTTTGAGCTGGAAACTAACACTAGTTGAATTAATAATGTATGTTATTACTGTATTAAAAGATCTAAACAGCTTAATAAACTCATTTTACAGTGCTTTAGGTCATGACAGCCAGTGTTGCAACCATGATTCTTTCAAGCCAGCTATACGTTTAGTTGCCAGGAGGAAACAGGAGCTTTGGCAAAAGAACAACCACCAGTTAGCATACTAGCACTCAAAAAAACTCCCCCAGTCAGGGTTCCAACTAAAATATTCAGCTACAGCACTTTATCTGATAACCAATTTTGGACCATCTTCATGTTTCAAAACAAATAGTCTATTAATAACAACTGGATAATCCACACTACAGAACTATAATTTCCAAGATCTCCACAGACATCCATTTGTCAGGTTATCCTTGCTTCATGTATTCAAGGTTACCTTCTTAACACCAGGGGGTTGGAAAGATCCTTGAAAAAGAAAACAGCATTTTTTGGAACTTAATTCTGCAACAAGGGACAGATTCTCACAGAACACAGGGCTCCAAAGGCAGCTAAACAAGATGCTAATTAGGTGGCTGACATACACAATAGAAAGGAAAAAAAAATCATTGAAAATTTCTCTATTCTTCATACTGAAAATTCAATTCATCCCTACAACGAAAGATAATGTTCATAGACTGATTTCTGCAGTAAACTATACCAAAATCTGATGCAATAAACAATTGAGCAAAATAAGACAACTGTTCAAAACAATTCCTTACTTTCATGCTGTTTCTAATCAGAATAGAGTCTCCAACTTCACACACAAAAGGACTGTAATGAACAAAAAACAGCATTTCATCTATAGAGACCAGAATTTTGGTCTCACTTTAACTGCACCTGTTTGCATCAGCAATAAACTCTTTATTTAAGCTGAAAGTTCACTTACAAAACTGAAGAACTTGAAGAATCAAGATATTTGATGACATTATGTAGGACATAAGAATTTACACCTTCTCAGACATGCTCTTGATTTCAACAGGAGTTTTACTTCCAGAAAAGTTGAAAATATGACTTTGGTGATAGAAGCACAGTTTATATGCATTACACAAACATACTTGAGTCAAAGGATTCCTTAATAGGAGATCAAAAACATTTTACAAAGTTATTAATTATGCATTAATTTTTAAAGGTAACTTCCCCAGCTGAAGTCTCATTTATAAACACCAACAGATGTTTGACAGTCAGTTCTGTTTGCACTTTGATACTTATCGAGAGACACACCACATCAAAAGAACACCTTTTATTCCTGTGCAAGCAATTAAAAAAGGCAGCGTTACCAAAAGCCATGAAGCTGCCTGAGGACTGATGTTTTTACTAGAGGTCTAGAATGTTTTTTCCAAAGCCTTCTCACCTGAAGTCTGCAATTCAGTAAACCAACTTCTGATTCCAAGTTGTTTGTAAGCCAGTTTATTTTGTTTTCACTCACTTAACAACTGAGCAGCTTACTATTTCTAAACATAGTTAAGCAGTACATTTTTGCAGACTCATCTGTGGTCTAGTCACCTACAGTCAAATTGAACAAAACTGATGCAAGTCTTGTATTTTTCCACATGTACTCAGACTATCAGAAAAAAGGCCAATTATGTTCATATAAAATGGATTTTGTGGTATATTCTGCTAAAATATCATTTGGTCAATTTATCCATCTCAAAATGGAGACGAGTGAACGCTGGTAAGATTTTAAATAAAGTTTAAGAACTATTTCATTAAAGCAATATTTAGAAATCTGAATTACTCCCAAATCAAGATATTTAGTAAACTCATCTTTGTCCTTTCTTCTTTTATTACTAAAGCACTTCAACTAAGACATTTCAGCACTGCTATTTTCTCACAGTACTGTTTATGCACTTCCTAACTAAAGTATAACTAAGATATCATATTCCGTTCAATATCAGTTAAACCTCTCATTAAAGTTCTTCAGAACTGCCACACAGTGGAGGTAGATGCCTACAACTTGAAATGAGAGGCAGACATGGTGTATTCTAACATTTGGTCTCCATTTTATGTTAGTGTGCATGGATTATCCAAATAAATATCACTCACTTTGAAAGTTACTAGAAAGCTAAATTGATAAAAAAATAAACATTATCTCCAAGTTATAAAAGTCTTTACAAAAAAAAAATCTGTTAAAATTGTAGTGAAATTACCATTGAAACAATATAACAAATCCTTCTAGAATTTAAAACTGTGCCGATCTACATACTAAGAGAAGTGAATTAGATCCCTGAGTAACATGCTTGTGATTGAGGCAGACAACAGAAAATAAGTATTCATGACAGTTTTATTTTAAACTGAAGCCATAATCCTATGAAAAATGTAGTTGGCAGTCTTACAAGAAACCCCATACAACTGAAACCAGAACTGAGTTTCATTCGTATGTTACACATCACTAGCTGAAGTCTGTAACTTTGGTTTTAATGTAAATCAAATCTAGCTACAGCTAAAAAAGAATCCTTCCTTATTGCAAAGCAGCAAGTACATTGTTAACAAACAGGAAGAATTGGATTTTTAAATGCCATGCTACCTAACAACAGTTGCTAGCCTTGAAAAAGTTTACTTGAAGACCTTCCAAGTGTTTCAGAGATTCTTCACAAATGTACTTCTCAATACCCTCTGCCCTTTCACACGTGGCCCCTGTACACTCATATAATTCATAACAATATTATCAGGAACATGTTGCAACAAAGCTGTGCCATGGTTTATTCAGAGTGGGACTGTAACGTTCTCATACTTAGTAAGCCCAGATCATTGATACCAGGGTTTAACTAGCGCACAACACTAAGACAATATATTAAGTCTTACCAGAAGTCTTTACCAGCAGAAGCCATATGAAGATAATTTCTTAATGATACTGTCCAGAAGTACAGATTTATATGTTCTAAACTGTCTTTTCCTCCTATTTACTACCTCCAGAGCAAAGTAAACAATATCTGCTACTCCCAAGTGCTTTTACTCTACAGGAAGCTGCAATGACCTATTAGTAAAATCATTCCTAATGCTATGAGAAACAAGAGAGTAAGGTAAACAACTGGGACCGCCCCCCCCCCCAACTTAGCACAGTCTTAAATCTGGTACTTATTGGTAAAATAGGTCAGCCAAACTATTGACTTTGGCTCCAACTCCTTCCTTATGTATTCAGCTTCAGACTTACTTGATCCGAGTTCAATCTTATTCTTCATCACTTCACTAAACTAAATCCTATATACATCATTACAAGTCTGAAGCGCACCAGAAGTGTATTTTGCAAAGCAAATAGTAAAACAAGAATTTAGCTGAATTACCTATTTTCTTTCTGAAGTCATCTGCATGACAAACATTTTTCACCAAGAAAAAGCCGTATGTGTTCTGAGAAAACACACGCAGGTATTAATTAGGTTTGAGCAGCTCCCTTTGATCAAAAGCAAATGGATGATTAGCATCAGCCAGCAAATACAGTAAAATGCATCTCAAAAAAAATCTCTCAATCTGCCTGCAGGTAGGTTACTTCTAAAGCATACAATGAAGCACAAAGTGCCCTGAGTTAGAAACTTGACTTCTCACTAAGTGCTTTGGAGATTTTACTCAGGACTATCTCTAGCTTAATCCTGTAAACTGGATGTCCATTAGCATCTAAGGGACATTAGGCATGCCCCTAGACTAACCTTTCCATCTAATTTCATCAGAGAAGTACATTTGAAAAACTTTGAGACCACACTGCAGTGTGAAGCAAGGCATGGAAATGGGTATGACTGGACATTCACCTGACCAACACACTATTGACCCAGACTAAAATGCTGATGTTGACCCACACTAACAGCCACAAAATCAAAAAAGTAATAGTTGCATATAGTTTCCCAAGTATTGAAGAAAAAATTGCTTTCTTCCCAGATGAAAGAGACCTTTACCTCAAAGACTATGAGCTTACATGACACACATGATTACTTGAGAGGCTCACCTCCAACAGAAAACTTCAAAAGGGGGGGGAAGTTCAATTTAAAAAAAAAAATCATCATTCAGCCAATACCTTAGAGAATTTCTTAGAAGAGTCTTGAAACGAAAGCAGCTATGGTCACTGACACATCGCATTTTTCTATTCAGCTATTTCAACTCAACATTTGATAGCTTAGAATGCTGCAGTTTGTTACCTGTTAAGTGCACACTGCTGTAAAATACCCATGGAGACGACATTTAAACATTAGCTAGTTTTAACGCCAGTTGGTACTACCTTCAGTAAAAATCAGCAGCATTTGCTCTGCTGATAACACTAATAAACATTAGGCAGCATCATACTTAACAGTTAAGAGTACTGCAAATAGTTTTTCCTAACAGAACTCATACTTGTTTAAAATACAACCGAAGAAAAAAACCCTTAACTTAGCTTTATTAATAAAACAAAGAGTTAAAAGGTTGCTATGACATTTAGAACATGATATCAGAGATAACTCTAAAACAGCAATGAATCCTAATAAAAAGATTAAAACCGCATATACTAAGAATAGTCCCTGTCCCTGGGAGCCAGCTGTGCATAGTGTTCTTCCAGCAAGTAGCCCAACATCTTTCCAGAAAAAAAAACAATAAAATTAGAGGCATCAGTAAATAAAGCTGCCATTTTAAACATTTCCAACTTACTGGGAAGTAATTCACAGAAAGTAATTACACAGGGGGGAAAAAAAAAAAAAGTCAGTGCTGATATTTTTTCTACAATCATGCAATCAGAGCACAAATGGGGAAAAAGCACTTATATTTACACTTACTCAGTTTTTCAAACCATGTGTACATTGCCGCTACTTAAAGTGCAAGCTACATGTCTGCTGAATTAACTGAAGGCATAACAGGTGAGATGTTAAAATACTGCCACCAGTAGTTATACAACTAACCACAGATGCCAGTAGCATATTTCAAACCCTGACCAACTTAGTGTGTTACTTCCTCTTGCATATTACCAGCCGAACACATATTCCATTGCTTTAGATACAATACTTTCATCTTTCCTAGGAGTTTGTCTGTCAGAAACCACCTAGAAGGCAGGGGGAAGAGGAAGAGAGAAAATAAAGAGAATCAGTCAACATATAGTTAATTCTTTTTATAGTAACCAGGTTTTTTTCTTTTCTTTTCTTAAGTGCTACTATATTTTGACAAAATACGTTTGAAAGATTTTCAAAACAAGCCCTTAAGCTCTGGAAAAGTGACAAGTCATTAATTTATTATTTTTTATTATTACTATTTTAGAGACTGAACAGACTGAGTTTGTACTTGAACCACATCTTTAAGGAAATGACAGGAGAAGATAAAGGCTAAAGTCACACTGAAGTTAATGTGTATACAGCCTCACACAACTAAGGGGAGACAGCACAAAAACATATGCTTTTGTTTCCCTTAAAATACCTGATAGTCACTAGTGGAAGCTTTATATGCTGTTGCAAGAGGTCTCATTGTAGAAATCCTTGTAGTATTATTTGCAGGTTGTACTGGTGTGCCGACTGATTTCATAGGTGGAGTGAAAACTGAAGACATTGAGGACGTAGAGCTTCTTTCAAAGTTTTCCATCACACTCTTAAAAAGAGGGTTAATACAATGTAAACGAATACCAAAAAGCAGCGTTTCAACCTTTATTATCTAGAATTATCTATTATCTAGAATTGTTTGATAAAATACATTCACATCTCAAAGTAAGCAAAGACCACAGGTAAATTGCCTGTCAGTATAGAGCACACAAGTACACCTCACCACCAAGCATTTTCCTCACTGCAGTTGTTTATATGTTGGATTATGCCATTTCAACGTAGTGGAAGCATGTCATCTGTTCACTGTATGTACTAAATGTCAGCCAAGTTTGAAACAGTATAGAGAAGATAAATTGTAAAACTTGCAACAAACTTCAAGTAGTAACTTTTTCAGGCCCAGTTGAACTAAGTAGCATAACATCCTCTTTCTGAATACATCTAAAATATTTTACCTGATCCGTACAGGACAGTCTCCAAGCCTTTACCAACTTGCAGCTTTTTGCTCAGATTCAACTTGCCAAGGAGTTTCACTCAGTCCCCTTAGGAAATGCTAGAAAAGGAGTCCAAAGGCTCCGTTTTGTAAGCTTGTTTAGAAAGGAATGCATGTAGAATGGAAGAGGAAGCAAGTGACTTGATGGGAACGACAAGTTCCACAAGAACCCAAAGAAAACAAGATGGGAAATGACAACCAGCCTGGTTTGTTGGATTTAGACTCAGTGGAGCACAGCATTCAACCAGCCTCAAGACAGCAGAAATTCAGAAGCACATCTGGCCAGAGACAGCTATCCAAAATCCAGGATAGGATTCGTGTCCAGTGTGGGTGGCAGCTGACACTCTGCTCAGAGAAGAGAGCCCATGGAACTAACTGCTACATTTAAATTAGAAGCCTAAGCACTGATGTGCAATTCATCATATCTAGTTTTCAATTGCAAGGAAGAGGTTTACAGGCTAATGCTAAACCCTCAATGGATTAGTCTCCAGAAATCTCTCTTGCCTCCAGAAATACAGGTTGATGATTATGGGTTTATTTATTGATATTTGAAAGTGGACACTATCCACAAAAGACATAACGGGAAATCAAAAGCAACAAAGATCAGATGCCTGACAATTACATGTCTTAGATCATTAGAGTTTCAGCTTATAGGCAATTCAGTCATTGCCACAAACTGGACACCAAAATAGTAAATAAGGTAAGAAGAGACTGGAAGCCCTATCATCAGAAACCCACAGAGGAAAGGGACACTGAAGTACATTTGTTTCTGAATTTTAATCAGTATAAGGAATGCTTTGAACTGAAAAATTCAAGTAATTGCAAGCTCAATTTCTAGGGCTGCCTTCTCAGAATGGTTTACATTTGAAAACTTACATTACTCTTTAGCATCACTTATCCTTAGAGGAGACCAAAAAAATAATCTGTGAACTATAAAAGAATGACTGTCATTCGCTTAAGCTAATGTACAGTACCCAATGCAAAGTGCTGCAAGAATTAATGGTCAGGGCATTGTCAATGCCTAGAAACTAATAGCTCATGATAAAATTAGACTGAAATACAGCCATGCCTACCCCAACCACTACTTACAAGAAAGGAACATGTTTTTGTAGGGGCAGGTGGGAGAATAGGATCAGGACTGTCTTGCGAACGAATTTTCAGTCTGATGTACTAAGATTATCTGATTCTGGCTTTTCAGTTTAACAGGCACATAAAAAGGACAATTAGGAGCAATAACAGTCTTAATCTCCCATCAGATATCTGTCACAGCCCCTAAACGCTACAAATTCCAGTCTGAGAAACTTTTATCTCAATTGTCTCTTATGTTATGGTTTCACTTTGTATCTTGTACAGCAATATAATTCTGTGCATTGTACCTTCCAAGGAGCACAGTCAGGAAATTTTGTCAAATACTTAAGAAAAACTCATGTAAGGTATAATAGACTATACCTATATAACTGAACTACCTATGCTTTGCAATTCAAAAGCAAAAATTAATGAAGTCGGGGAAAATGAAAAGGAAGCCCAAAAGCAGAGTGCCTTATATTTAAATAAAATCAGGTTAACTTACTTTATCTATACATGGCTTGACGCCAATCATGATAGATTCACCAAAAATTCTTCCATCTTTGCTTAAGGCTTTCCGGGCTTGAAGCTTAGACTGATATCGAACATGCATCCAGTTTCCTGTGTTGGACATCTGTATGAGATTAAGATAAAATTGTGAAATTTAACCTTTTAAAGAATGAGCCAGAATGTTTTCAGAAATAAGTCTCAAACTAAGACATACCACATGCTTTAATATGTTTCCATACTGAGCGAACTGTAGAAGAATATACGAAGCTGATGCTTGAGGAAATCTGAAAGACAAAAAATACCCCCAAAATTATAATGAGTAGTTTAAGTATTACGGTGCTAAAATACAAACCTATGAATAGCTTTTAGAAATTCAAGAGAGATCAGTGTGTTCATGCCATTTTAGAAGCAGTGACTTGAGGAATATTATCTTCTAGGCATTTTTACTTCACCATACAACTCAATGGTAGACTGCTGCCTTTTTAACTTAAAAATTAACATGTAGCTTAAGTTAAGGTGATTCACTAAAATATATGCATTTGCTGGCTTTAACAACAGTTGTATTTCCGGCAGAACCTAGGAATGCCAGACAACAGCAACGTCCAAGTACTTCTTTCCATATGCTGCAAAGACTTCACCCATGTTTTTTCTAATACTTTCGAAATCAACTTACCCAAATACAGTTACCCATGTGTCATCAAGCTGATCTTCTGAAGTCAGGGAATCACCCTGAGTATAAAAAGGATCTAGCTGAGCAGGAGACAGGGTAGTCTTCCTAGGCTGCCCAATACTTGCAGGACTGAACATACTTGAAGCTGTTAAATTGAAATGGCATTGTTTAACAAATTACTTCTGCAGGACAGATAAGTTTAAGAGCCTTAAGAGCCTCTAGTAAAAGAATAAATTCAGTACCAAGCATTTCACTTGTATATGGAAGAGTTTGATGGCGATCTATTTGCAGGCACAGACAAACAGTAAGTCAACCCCAACTTCACGCCTGTAAGCATGCTAGTAAGTTTTATGACTAGCAACCTAGCTTTCTCCTTGACCTCTAAACACCAGCAGCTTAATACAGAAGCCAAATAGGAACAAGACAGCAGAATTAAGCTTAGCAAGAAGCCACAGGTTCATAGATAAGATAAGAAACCTTACAAAGATGGAAGGCAACCCATCAATCTCAGATGCTTCACTCAAGTACAACCACCTCTGTGCTCAGTTCAACAACAAATTTTTAATAAGTTGATTGAAATTCAGTCAGTCTCAGAGTGGAAAAGTATTTCCTATTCACAACCACATACCTTTTGAAAAGCTAGTAAAGAAAGACACAATTCCTTTGCAAATTAGCAAGGAGTTGATGTACCTTGAACAGCGATGATTTTTGTGTATCAAGGAAAGCAGCAAGAAAGTAGATTATATATTTTGACAGGACACCTACCTGTTCCAGGAGTTGATGGCATAGTTCCAACCAATGGGCTCTGTGTTAGGGAAAAGCTGGCCTGCATTAAAATACAGAAAGTAACAGATCATTCTTACAGGCACACTTCTCAGATCAGAAGAGATCATTTTCTTAAGTTAAGCATCAGGCAAGAATATTAACTGTCTGCCTTAAGTTACTCCTAACTTTTAAGAGTAAGAGCAGACATTTACATGTATATTTAATACAAGATTATTGAAAGTTATTAATGAAAAGTTACTTGTCAATGTTTTTACATTCTAGCACACAGTCTAGCAGATAGCCTGAACATCCAGTAACCCTCAACTATTACATTCTGGAATTTCCAGCTGATTACTAAGCCTTAGAAGAGAATGCAGTTAACTTTCCTGATCAGAGGCTTAAATGGAAGTATCAGAGAGAGTATGGGAATGTAGAGCAAACTACAGAAGGGAAGCAGCACAGGCAACAGGATTCAGGGTCTGTCTACAATATTTTATCATCATCTAATAAGAAAGAGCTACTGGTATACAAGAAGAAAGCTTATTTAGGCCTAGGGTGAGCTTTAGGTAACAGGAACTGAAAAATCTGTCACCTAACACTAATCACATATGCTTTGTGAAACCAAGTAGCTTTAGGTATCAATACTCAGAAACCTTATAGTTTAACTTTTTCAAAATAGGCATCTCACTATTGCTGTAGTAAAGTAATTCACGTGCCTCCTGATGGAAAGGATGTCAGTATAAGTTACCAGCATCTGATTTTCACTTTCTAAAGGGCTTAGAAATCACGGGAGCATAACCCCTACTTGTATTCCTCATCACTAGACTTACTTTCCCTCTCAACTACTTAGTGCAGCTGCACTGTAGGAAAGTATACTTCAATATTTAGCTGCTAGCAGTTATTTTCTTTTTAACATAGAAGGATTTCAATATCCAAAACAATTTTAGTTATTTTTAGCCTGAATCATGGCATTTCTTAGATACAAGATCAAACTGGAGCACCTGTAGACATAGCAACATGCATTCTGATAGCTGCCCATTATTTTTTTTTTAATTATCCAGTCCTTTAAGACAGTATTGGATTCTGTCCTTCATAGAGAACTTGAACTTTCAGAATAAACTTTTCAGAAGGCAATACTCAATAAAAAGACTGCTCATTCAGTGAAAGGCCTTCTCCTTGCATCAAGAGAATCACGTTCACCGAGAAAGAACCTACTAACACACGACTGCTCAGTAGAGGTAAGTAGCAGAGCTTATTATTAGAATGACCTTGCAGAAATTTTACTGTTACTCTTTCAAAATTAACCCCACCTCCCTGCCCAAATTTGGTTAGGTGTTTTACTGAAATAGAAGGAATTTTGTGTGGAGTAAGTGCCTCTATTGCCCACTAAAAGAAAAGATAACGCATATTTGGACCCTTATGGCAATCAGCAGCCCAAGACATTTGCAAGAAGGTGAAAAGCTGCAACAAGTCTACATTTGTCATGTACAAAGCATAGAAGAGGCATGATTTGCGTTTTTCATTCCCTACAGTATCAAAAATCACAACTACAGCTCTCATTTAGACTACACAGGAACAGGCACTCCAAACACCCAGACTAAGCAACAGCATGGTCTGAGGACTCACCAGTCATTTTGCTACAGCAGTTTATACAACTGACTTAAAGAAATCACTGAAGCAGTAAGCTACCTCACATCTTCTTCTAAGAAGAGGCCAGTACCTAAGCCACTTACTGGTCTTCTGGAGGTTAGAGGCGTTGATCCAAGTCCAGGACTAGATAATTCATCATATATGCTTCTAACTGGTGGAGCACCACTTTTATCTTTATGCGTAGGGACAACTGGTTGTGGGGGAGATCCTCCTGCAATTAAAAGGAACAAATGACGAGCATAAGAAAACTTGTAATTTTACTCCACTGCTACTTGTTCTTGAAACTTCAGCAGTAAATTCAGCCATAAAAGACTGTTGATTGTTTCACTGGGGGTTTGCAAAACTATCTGGCCCACCAAACTGTTCAGGTTTGAACGTTCTACATAGAAGTATCACATACATGTCAGAAACTGCCTCCTAACACACGTATCACCTAGAACTCTTATTAACCCAGTATATTCATTACTTACATGCACTTTGGTACAGTGTATTATATAAAGCACTCTCCCATCAAGGTTTTCAGTTTAAGCGATATACTTAATCACTCATTTTGGGAAGCCTGTGTTAGTAAGTTACTGGTTCCCTCTTTTCTAGAATTGATACTCTGAGGCTGTAATAAACCCTTTTAAAAACAATTACGTGAAATTCACATGACTATTTTCAATTTCATAAATATTTTCTTAAGAGGCTTGTATGTGGGGGGGACAGACAAGAGCAAGAAGCAAGAGACCAACAGACCACCAATCACGGAATATGTCAAGTTGGAAGGGACCCATAAGGATCATCGAGTCCAATTCTGCTTGAAATTGGAAAAAAAAAAAGTATCTAAAATTATCCCGCAGTACTTTAATCCTCAGTTTCTCCTTCAAAATCACTAGCTCACTAACACCACCAGATATTTAGATTATGCCAACTGATTTAATACAAAAGCCAAGATCACCCATGACATGAAATAAATCAATGAAGCTCTTCACAACTCACTCATACTTCTCAGACAAGAAAACACACATATAATACCACCACCACCTTAGAAACATGGGTGAGGACTTTTTCCAGTCAGATCAACTAGGTGGTTGGAAAGAGATGAGCATCTATAGCTAGGAAGAGTCATTACTACAGCCCAATTACAGCAGACATCAATACTGTAAATATAACCACTAGATAGTAATTAAGAAGTATTTTTTAGTTTTTCTCCACCCAGTTTTTAGAAGTCTGACAATCTGTAAGTGACTTTCTGGAATTCATTGCAAAGAAATCAGCAACTTGCACAAGTTGCATTTAGTTTGCCAGCAGACATCTCTGTTTTAAACAAAGAGAAAACATTGATGGCTGTATGTGTAACTGACTTGTAAAGAGCTGTATAAATTTATTTTATATTAGTAGTTCATATTACCTTCCCTGTAAAAGCAACCTTTCCTAGTACCAAAACTGCCATATTTAAAACATTTATTAAACTTCAGTCTGCTTTGAAGAGTTTAGGCCAACTCCATCAAATACACTTGAGTTCACCATTTATTCAATGAGTTGAGCTCATTTATAACAAGTTATAAAACTACAAGAATTCAAGTCTGCAGCAGTCATGTAGAGCAATAAGACAAACCAAACTTTGACTTTCACGACAATTTTTCAGCATGACTTCTGACCTGCAAGTAGCGGAGACCTCATTTCCATTACACCAACTGAAGGGCCACTTAAAGCACGTGGTTGCGGAGTCACTGGCGCAGGTAAATCACCCATCAAGAATCCAGGAAGAAACTGAGCACTAGCTCCTGGTTTTGGAGATGTTGGGGAGCCAAGAGTCATTGGCTCAGCTCCTGTGTTAATAAGAACAAAATTTTAAAAGATGGAAGAAGCCAAGTGATCTAGTCTTTTCCATTGCTTAAATAGTGGTTCTATTAAAAAAATGTAAAACAATATACAGTAAGTGATTAAGCCAGTTCTAATCATTTATTTTCCAAGTAAGCAAAATTTATTACAGTCTTGCATTTTTTGCAACTGCAAGAATGGCCACGCTGAGACTTCGTTCTTAAAAATATACTACTTTGGTTACGGCTGGATTTCTGGTTTTGAGGGTAATTATGGGGTTTGGGTTGTTTTAAAGGTGTTTCTTATGTAAAAGCAATCACGCCAAGGATGGATTCTCCTCCCCTGACGGCCGGTTCCGCGCCCCAGCCCGCAGAACGTGCTCCGACAGAGCACCGCGGGCTCACGCCAGCCACATCGCGGCTTCCCCGCGGCCCTCCCGCCCCAGCCGGGCTCCCGCCACGCCCCTGCGCTGCCCTGGGGTTTCGGGATGCTTCAGGTACAGATCTTACCTCACGGAGCACCGGCGCGGCGGCTGCTTAGTTGAACCCCACGCCCCCTTTCGCTGTCCCCCAGCGGAAGGCGCTCATCCTGGCGCGGTCTCCCATCACCCGCTTCAGCCCGGCGGCGTCCGGACTCCCCCAACGCGTCCCCCCGCCTGGAGCAGGGGACCGGCCCCGGCCCCAGTCCCCTCACCAGGACAGAGGAGCGGGGGCAGCGCCGGGGGGAAGAGCCGGGCAGCCTGGGCCAGGCAGCAGCGACCTGAGGCGCCTCGCGCCGCCCAACAGTCCTGCACGCGCCCAACGGCCGCACGGAACGGCGCGCGCAGGGCGAAGCGGCGCCCGGAAAAGCCGACGGGGGCACGACGCCGGGAAGGGGTGGGCGGCCCCGCGGCCCGACTCACCTGCGGGCGGCGGGCCCCCGGGCGAGG